GCAGACCAGGCAAAATATATCGATGACTATCTAAAGCACGAGGGAATTCTATTGCGTAAGGAAAAAATTGTGAAAAATCCAGGGTTAAGAGCGCTAGCAAAACTTTGTTTAAACTCGCTTTGGGGTAAATTTGCACAACGTAATGATATGTTAATTACGGAGTTTATTCACGATCCGCTTGTATTTTACAAACGACTAAATAGTGCAGACACTGAAATTCACGACATGCAATTACTGAATGACGATTTAGTCGAAGTTGTATATAAGCGTGATTGGGAGTTTCAAAAAGAAAGTAAAACAACAAATATTTTTATAGGTATTTTTACAACTGCATGGGCGCGTTTGGAGCTCTACAGTTTGTTAGATTTACTAGGACAAAATTTGCTCTATGCAGACACAGACAGCTGTGTGTATGTTGCAAAGCCTGATTCTCCAAAGCCTCCTTTAGGAGACTATTTAGGAGATTTGACCGATGAAATTGGTGAAGGCGAGCACATTACTGAATTTGTCTGTGGGGGTCCTAAGAATTATGCTTTTACAGTTAGTAATGGCGAGCAACACTGTAAAATAAGAGGCTTTACATTGAATTTTAAAAATAGCTTGCTTTTAAACTTCGACACGTTAAAAGATATGATTTATAATTATGTTGAAAAACCGTCAACTGTACAAATAGAAGAAAGTAAAATAGTCAGGGAGAAATGGTCGCATAAACTTGTAAATAAAAATCAAAGTAAGAAATATCAAGTTGTCTTTGACAAACGTATAATAATAGACGGAGGGGCCGATACCATTCCCTATGGCTATAATTGGTTTCCGTCAGCGGAAATTTCCAACAGTTTACCTCAGATCGCACGCGAAGCCAAGGCTAATGATATTTTATTCACATCCGTGCATCCAACCGCACTAGAAAATTACAAATAATGTATGACAGGTCAAGGTGAATGTAGCGAGTCGATTGATTTAATGGAAACCGACTCTGAAGACGAAGAAAGCTTTTCCGAAAGACAATCCGATGTGGAGTTTCTTGACGACATTGATCACTCCGACAATGAACTTTCGTTTTACAGACAGATTGATAATCAAGTATAGAGTCGAGACAGGTAAATTAATAAAGTGACATGCATATAATCAAACAGCGTTGAATAGTTAAACAGTTTCGAATCAATGACATGTTAACTAACAAACAAATATACATATTTTTAGACTGAGGTTGTTTGACACATTTCTACACTGGACAAGGCTAACGATGGTTGAACACGATACGCAGTCATTTCTATGTGATCGGTATGTACAGACGGGAAACAGCGACGACAATTGCGAACCATGCAATACATCAACATTATACAGACAAATATGGAAACTATCGTAGAAGGAACCAACACATAAAGTTGACAGTTTTTCTTTCGCTGGTGGAACTAAACACATGAACGATGAAGACGAAACCATTGATTCTGACAGTGACGGTGATAACGATAAAGACGAAGACGACAGCTGCGAATGAAATGGTGATGATGCTGATGGTGATAGTGAGGGTAACAGTGGTAATAACGACAGCAGAGGTGATGACTTTGAAGTTGAGAATGATATCGTTGAATGCGGAGGTATTGACGGCGTGGACGGCGACAACAGCAAAGATGTAGACAATAATAACAGCGACGGTGATGAGGTTGAAATGGAGGTTGACATGTTAAAAAAAAAAATCCGTGAGGGGCGAACATAAAACTTTTGGCGGGACGACGGAACGTGAGATGATTTACATGGGGTGGACATAATCAACGACGATGGTAGAAGAGAAAAACTGACTGATGACTGAGGTAAACGATTGCTTGTGGTTGACGTATACGGAAAAAGTTGTGTCACAGACGAAAATGAGTTCACCGACATAAAATATAAATCTTTCTTTCGGGCTGGACATGGATCAAACAGCACATTTAACAATGAGAAATTGACAGGACAGGACAGAGGGTTTTCACGTAAATCAATGTACATAAGTCTTGGGTACGCACGAATAACATCCAGTTCATTCACTGCTTTAAAGTTGTTTCGTTTCAACGACAAAATCCGTATTCGTGCATCTTTTACCTTTCCGACAGGAACATGCTTCAGATCCATGTTAGAACAATGTAACATATGATATCGCTTCACATAACACATTTTTCACCGTGGTTTGCACACGCAGCCATAAGGAAAAAACATACAGACAGCAAGGAATTCATTTTGGAAAATTAGAAAAGTTACAAACAACTCTTGTGAACTATGAATGTTGCGAACTATGAATGTAGTTACAAAATGAATGAACGATTAAAAGACATGCCTATGCTTGTGAGGATTTTAAAGTAAACCCTCAAGTGCTTTTAAAATTTTCTGTCATAAATATCTGCTAAAGTATGATGTGTTCATATGTAATCAAAAGAGATTTTTGTTGTTTGATTGATGTAGATAATTAGAAAAATATTTAATAAAATTGTTCATTGTCCAATGTATTCTTATTGTGTGCACTTTGTTCACTATTTTACAAATACCTCCCATTCAAGCTAGTCGAATCATACCGTCTTTCTTTGAATATGTCAAAATGCTTACTAGCGCGAGTGGTTATAAAAGTGAAAGCAGAGCATGTTTGCTTTTATTTGCGAGGCAATGGACGTACGTTTTAGAACACCTGCCAACTTTTATGTGTGTGGTCAAAGTCAGTCGGGCAAAAGCTATTTGGTTAGGTCGATGCTTTATAATTTAAATGAACCTTTTTATCCTGTTCCAAATAAAATTATTTACTGTTACGGTGAACGGCAAAGTGAATTTGGTGAAATGGAATCAAAAATTCCAAACATTTGCTTCGTCGAAGGATTCCCTGACAACTTATTTGATATTCTGGAAGGTTGTCAAAACTCTTTAGTGGTAGTTGACGATTTGATGTCAGAATGTTCTAGCGATCAACGAATGTCCGATTTATTTACCCGCGGGTCACATCACCGTGGCGTCTCTGTCATGTATCTAACACAAAATTTATTTCCGCCTGGTAAACAATCCCGAACAATCAGCTTAAATTCCCACTACATGATCATTTTTAAAAACCCCAGAGATTCGCTAGGTATCGCAACATTGGCACGCCAAATGTACCCAAAGAAAACGAATTACCTTTTGGAGTCATTTCAAGACGCCACATGCCGCCCTTACGGTTATCTTTTGCTCGATTTGCATCAACTCACATCTGACAATATGCGTGTCAGAACAAATATCTTGCCCGGTGAAAAGCAGATTGTCTATGTACATAAGTGATAAGCATCGACATCAACAGTCATTTAAGCACCATGTCTAAACGAATTAGGAGCAATCTTCCATACCTACAAGTACTTGCAAAATCTAAGCCGAAAATTCGAAAGGTTATCATCGAACATGGACCATCTGATGTCATGTTGTGTATTTGTGAATGCGCAGTTAATGTGTTAAAAGGAACTGTACCGATATCTGCGAGTAAAAACGACGCTTGTTGAGGTATAAGAAACATCTCAGAGCCTTAGCGAACAAGAGAATTTCAAGAGCTAAAAGAAAAACTTTTAAATCAAAAAGGAGGAAATCTACTGAGCGCCTTCCTACCACCGGTTTTGAACGTTCTAGGGAGTTTGCTGAAATAATGAAGCATGCCAAGCGAATGATTTTAGTACCTGAAGACGTTTATAATAAATATGAACAAAAGCAAAAATTTGAAGTTTCGCCAATTACGATGAACATGATGCAAAAAGATACTCAACTCTCGCACATCCTTCACCAAGACGGTTTAAGTGACGATCAAAGGCAAAAACTTTTCAACACAAACTTTGAGCAATTCCTTAATTTGAAGAAACAAAAAGATATTCAGATACCCACAGTACGCGTGATGGATACAACCGACGGGAAGAAAGAAACTCGGTAATAAACAACGAAGTGCGTACATTAGCTGACTCCGTCATTGTACAAAGTGTGCCGAAGACGATGCGTGAACGCGCAACAGCAATACTGCAGCGTCTCAAAACAAAACCAGATATAATAACTTGGGATGATTCAGGACAAGTCAAACTTGACGGTGTTATTATCCCTCAATCAAATATATCAGACCTCATTAGCGACGCCGTAAGAGGGAGAAAGAATTTCAATCCTACAGGTTCTAGAGAATTCTTTCGCGTTTTATCAAAATAAACATTCCTCGTGATTTGGTTCGGAACGATGTAAGATGGGAAGAAGCTCAAATGGAAACTTCGCCCGATGAAGAAGACGGAATAGCCTACCACAGAGGCTCAAGAACAAAATGACAACACCTAAAGCCACCCTACACTAAAGAAAACTCGCTTACGTTGGATAGACTATTAAAATTTGACATGTAAAGATTTGTTTTGTTTAAATAAATAGAGCAGTTGATATCAATTTCCTGACTGTTATCATTAGAATATGCAAATAGAAAACACAGGCAATTAGTTTACACAAAGAAAATTTTATTGATAATAAACGGCTCAAGCTTTTACAACAAATTTTATACTTGACTGAATGCTATCGTTTAGGGTTACACTAGTTTCTATATGAAAATGTCTGCTAACGAAACTTGATACCTTGTTATCGTTCTCAACAGTATTACCATCAAACATGTTTACAATCTTATTCATGCTATATCCTCGCACTCTATGGCTGAGGTAAAATATACAATATTGTCCACATACATCCGTCCAGATACTTTGCAATTGACGTTTATTAAACCCCCAATCATAATGTTTCAAATAATCTCTAAAGAACTTATGATATCGCCCTGGTGGTTGTCCATAGCTATCGAAGAATTCGGCTTTTTCTTCTGAAGGAAAGTAAAAGGCAACCCAATGGGTCCCCGGTTTTCCGCTTACATCCGTGTTTGCGATAAATCCTTTTGGGTAGCTTTCGATTTCTTTAGGCAGACGGTCGGCTGGAAAAACGCCGAGAAATTTTTTTCCTGTTACCGGATCAGATTTCAAAGCGGTCCATATTTGTGAGGTGTTCATTTATCCAATGTAGTCACAAACGACATTTCTCTCTCCATCGAATTGTATTATATTTTCAAACTCTACATAGCAAACAAGCCTAACTGCATGAGTTGGCGGTGTCGAGAATTGTAAGTCAATGGCCAGGTTTCCTTTTTGCACCGTGTTAAAATGTTCGGATGCACTGCACATATCGGGGGTAAAGTCCGCGCCGAACAGGGCAAAACTGTTTGGGAAATCTTCACGCGTAATGCCATTGCCTGTGTCGTAATACATTTTCACAGTGCCAGAAAACTGTGATAGAAATGCTTCTATAAATCTTGGATTCGCACCAAACGACAAATTGATTGGTTTAAATGGTACAGATTCACCATTTATTGAAATGCCTAAGGATGAAATGTTGAAATGTTGGAAATTGAATGGGTTCTTTTTATAAGCTCCGTTGAATGACGCACTTTCAACAAGACCGAAAACAAACGATTTAGGCACTAAACCATTGAAAAGGTTATCTTTTTGCAGCGAAGGGTTTCCAGAAGGAATAATAAAACTTTTACAGTCCACACGTCTTACAGGGTAAATGGCTGGACCTTTTTTCAGGGCAACTTCGTGAGCCAGAGATATACTAGGATTCACTTTGACTTTACGAACTTTAAGGTATGCATCTATCAGTTTCACTCTAAAGGCTGCACCGTCCACCGATGACATTAAGACAAATTCGTCACTGGTACGGTTCATGACCACTTTCAAATCAACATAGCTAAGTAAGTAACGTTCACCAAAGAAAACATCGCAAAAGATAGGACCTGCCATATCAACAATTTTACTTCCCATGATAAACTTATTTCTTGTCTTCAAACCCTGTTTGGACTTGCGTGGGCAGGATCTGCGTTATCCATCTGACCTGCAGTATCTTTGTAAAATAACGCAGCGGTGAGCTGGGATTGTTTGGCTGACGGACCATAATTTAAAAGTGTTCCGAGATATGCACGATATGGATATGTTCCTGTTGCTTGTGTAACTAACTTTCCTTTTAGAAACACGTCAACTTGCTTGAACAAACTGTGCAAGAAATTGTTTACAGGTCCAACTTTAGTGTCATCATCGATATCCCCACCATCGGCTTTTGTTACTTTCGCTCTAGCTACCAATATTGTCTTAGACATGTCAACATAATCTTCAGTGCCGGGCGCTAAAATGTAATTGGTCCATTTTCAGATACGCTGGACACAGGTTGATGATCAATCCAATGCCTTTTCTAAACTGACTTGTGTTGGTGGGACAGAAAATAAATCAAGTTCGGTTTTTGTACATTCTGCAGATTTTGGATGAACGAAATCCATATTTAGCCGAAAATGTCCTCTGCTTCTTTAGCTGCTTTACGTCTCTTGGCTGAACTGTGAATGGCAATGGAAGTCGTCGCCTTTCTCTTTTTAGCTGGTTTTCTTGACCGTTTCTTTGAAGACTTTCCTCTTCCTGTTTGAGCAAACTGCTGCATTCTGTTTACAGCCATTTTCCCACATCTTTAGCAGCCTGATTTACTCGCGATTTTGCAGACTCTTTCACACTTTTCCCGAGATAACATCGCCTAAAACGTTTGCTCCTGTGTTAAGAGCAATTTTACCCAGAGCTTTGCACCGCTTTTGCCAGAGGTATTACAGCTCTAGCTAAACTGCGAAATAAGCCACCAAGACCATAACCCACTTGCCCATATCCTCTTTGCCAAGGTGCTCCTTTAAACACTGGTGATGAACCGTATCCTCGTTGTTGGTTGAGATAATATTGAACATAACGATTTGTTAGAGTCATATTTCTTATGTAAAATAAAGAAGCTTGCTTTCTGAAATGAAGTGTCACTATCGACTTCCCTCGTTCAAATGCGATGGGGTTTCCTAACTCGTCCCTTAAGAGAATTTCGATGTCCTCAAAAGATTTTGTTTGCACGGGTATGTATTGGATATTAGTGAATGTTCTTGAAACAATGTCTCCATATTTTCCTTGAATGGTAACTGCCTTTAGTAATTTTACATTGACGTCTCCAACAACTTGCGGTTGTACAATGTTGCAATATACATACATCATGACGGATCCGTGCAAATCAAAAGCATAAGGGCTTTCGGTTGTTTTAAAATCTCTACGTCTTTTCCGCCAAAACCGAGTAAGACCGACATTCGTTGATTAAATGATATTTTGTAACCCTGTCTTACATGCACTTTAATTTTTCTGTTCGGGGTCAAAGCTCAATTTGATATTGTCTTTTACTTCTTTGTCAAGAGTCTCATTAACTGATTTTACTAGGTCGAAGGCTTTTCATACAGGCCATAGTCGACAAATACCGGAGTAGGTAGACCTGTTTTGTGAGTTACATATATATGTGTATCCAAACCTTTTTTCAACGTGTACCATGTATGAGGATATGTAATTGAATACAATCCTACTTCCCAATTACCATTTAAATTCACAACGTGAGGTAGTTTTACGCGATAACCTGAAATCTTATTCTCAGGAAATACAGAGAGAGATGCATTACTAGGTAATGTCAGATAGAAGTGTCCCGCTCATCTTTAAGGTATAATGTGAAATGAAAAAATCATGAAAACGGTTACGTTTTATATATGTATTTCCGATGCTGGTACCCATGAATTAAATTTGTTAGGGTAGCCAGACCACTTTACAAAATATTGTACATTGCCCCCTCTACCACGTTTCTTAAGTATTTTTTCAATCTCATAAACATCGTCTTTCTTGATGACTTTTTGAAGTTCTTTTTCATAAAATGTTCCTTGAAGTTCGTCCCCTTCATGATCTTTCAGTCTGTATACAGGAGGATTGCGCGGTATTTTTTGACTTACAGTGAAAATTTCTTTTGAAAAATTCGGTAAATACCCCTTCTCAAACCTTCGTTTTATTTTACTTATTCGTACTTGGTCACCTATATCAAACTTATATTTTACATGCGTAGGTTTATTTAATTTGCTATCACCATATAAATTTTGCCGAATTCTATCTTCATTTTCACTTGTAACGTTGATCGGTTTTCCTTAATGCTGCGATGCATGCTATGATTATAAGAATACAGTAGATCAGGAAGCATGTCAATGTATCTCATGGTTTTGTTTGCTGTGAAGTAGCGCCACATTTTAGTTTTCAGTGTACGTATCAAACGTTCAACGATGGATGCCTTCGTCTCGTTAAATGTATTAAACAAGGTAACGTTTTCTTCTGCCAAAAGTTTCTTAAAGTCTCGATTAAAAAACTCCGAGCCTTGATCCGTTTGAATGTGTGTCGGTTTACGTCCTGATGACAAAATCTTTTTAAAAGCTTCTACCAACGACGATCCTGTTTTCTTTTTTAATGGAACAGCCCATGCATATTTGGAAAAAACATCAATACAGATAAGAAGATAGCGATAACCATCATTATACTTTTGCAAAGATTGCATGTCTGCAAGATGCAATTGCCACTGGTCGTCAATACCACTCACTACGACACGATTTCTTTCAAACTTTCTTCGAATAGGTTTATGCAAAGAGTATGCGTCTTGTTGCATGAGCCATTCTTTAATTCTTTCACGACTAATGTCATATATTCCTTCTGCCTTTACATCGCGGTACAAACGTTCAACACCTCCGTAGCTTCCTGGGCGTTTTGGATTGAAGTATACACCGGCTAAGTACCGGTCAACGTTACTCATGACAATGTTCTCGTGATAATAATTTTGCAATAAGATGTCAATTTCTTTTAACTACTCATTATCGATGTGTTCAATGTTTTCAGTTACAGGCAGTGTTTCTTTTATCGCATTATCTGTTGGAAGTTTAATTGCGATGGGTCCATAATTTTTAACAGTTTTACTTGTGTATCCTGCTTGCAAATGACCCTCAAGATTGAGATCGTTGCGTCCGAAACTTATACCCAAGCGAAACATTTTCTGACGATTATGATTTTTATCCCTTTTTGCATTTCTATTTTCACGTTTGCTGCTACCGATCCCCATTTTCACAATGACATAGTCATAAAACAACTGAAGACAAAATGCAATAACATTGAAATTTATATTTTATTTTTTTACATAGTTGATCTGTATTTCAGTTTACAACTACAATCAGCATAGTCAAAGAGATGTTGATAAAAAGGAGGACGTTTTGTCTCCGTGTACATTAACATTAGTTCTACCCAAGTAACACTAAACAGTTTATCAAAATATGTCTTGTGAGAGTTCGAAGGTCCACTGTACTTTAGAAACTTAAAGGCTTCACATATTCCATTCCAGACATGTTCGCGATTGATTGTTTCGACTGCACGAGCTGCAAAATTGAACCACCGATCTTCCTCAGCCATCATTTCTAAAACGTTTTGATACTCCGTCCAAGGGTCTGCTTTACTTTCATCCTTTTCAGCTCTTCGTAGCTCTTGAATCTTTTTACTTATAAAATCGACGAAAATCAAATTGATAAGATCGCTGTGACTAACTTCTTCAAACTCAACAGTGTCTGCATATATCTGATTAAACATGTGCCATATTTTTTGTTTTTTTTCAAAACGTCCAAAAGCAATGCAATAATAAACAACGCAAATAACATTTTTTAAGACGATAGTTCGACTATATAGTTTGAAGAATGAATACACAATGACATAGATCCGGTTTATTAACCAATAAAACATAAGGCGGATCTAATGTTACTTTGTCAATAGCATGCAACTTCCAGCTTTGTCGTATTTCCGATTTTCACGCCATCCAATGCCATGCCATGTTTATTAAACCCTATTTCCGGTTGACATGCGCGCGCACCGATCAACTTCAGGGGACTGAAACTAACTGGCACGGGTAAGAGCTGTGACAAAAGTGTGACAAAGCTGCACCTTATCTACTGTTGCGCATTAACGTTATACCCAGTGAAAACGCCAGAAAATATCACTTTAATCATGGTGATGACAGTCAACACAATTTGATTTTCAGCCGAAATTTATCTTTATAAAGGAATACATATATACGATGATAGAAAATTTCAAAGCTGGTTTTCTAACAAGAAACTTTCTAAAATTTCATCGATGAAATGTGCTGCAAACTTGGTGTACTATATGAAGTATTTAGAAGAAAATATTTCATGACACGGGATGGATGAAGCAAGATATTATTTGTTTGTCATTCAAAAAGTCGAGTTAAACATTGTTTGAAACCATGAGTGCTGTTACGTTTATATTTTTTTACCTACATAATTTTGTTTAAACAGTGTTTTCCCAATAAATTTTATTTGTTATTCTTTTCTTGAGGAGGGCACTAAAGCAAGCCAATTCTTTTTCGAGCTATACACGTCTTGCAATCAGAGAGCTCTTATAAATAATTAGGATTTGTTTATAATATTTTCTGAAAAATAATGGTTTATCAAGAATAGAGTTGGGTTAAAATTGAACAATATTTATGTTAAAACACTGTGATAAAATGAAGTATGTTGTGTGGTGTAAGGAAGCCTGCAATTTGTTCAGGCTATAATAGATTTTAGTGTTTACTTACTGTAAAAATATATTTCTGGAGAAATGAATAAAGTAGTGGTGAAAAACGTACCCTAGTATAAACAGAAATATTAGGCTGGCTATGCCACTGTTCTAAGTACGTTAATACACCAAAACCAAGATAGAACTGCTCTGAACCAAGATTTGTTTCCATTTACAAATTTTACTATGACAAGCTTATGATTTTTGTGCATGAAAGAAAGTTTGATTTAGCATTGCCTCATTAGATATCAATCCACACTTTGTATATTCTTAGGTCATCCAGGATTCACATGGAATGCTTTACTTTGTGAAGTCAGAACAAAACAAAAGGAGGAGAA